AATATTAACGATTTTTAATACAGAAACACAGAACAGTTGAGGTTAAAGGGGACCTCAGGCCTTCTCTAGTCCAAACACCTTCTCACAGCAGAGTCAGCACCGAGGTCAGATGAGGCTGTCAGGGTGTTCCCAGTCTGGTTTTGAAAACCTCTGGAGATAAAAACTACACAGTTTTTCTGGGCACCCAGTTCCAAACACAGGACATTAAACATGCCTGCATATTATCTGTGCTTCCCCAATTTAAGGGAGCTAAGGCAAATCACATTGCAACAAGTGGAGTAAAATGAAAATGTGTGAACAAAATGAAACTCATGTCCTGTTTTACAAGTCAGATTTGAATAAATATCTGCAAAGTAGAAAAGATGATATCACAGCAAAATAGTGTGAGAAATTAAAGCTGGCTTTTGTGTAGATGAAATTAATTTGCTATAATTAATGGAGATACTATGGTGAACTGCTTGTTTTTGATACTTTCAATGAAAAATGAAAACATCTTCTTTTTTAAAAAGTGAACCTATTCTTTTGAAATCTATGCTGATATATGCAGGGTTGGTGCTGGTCCAGACTACTTATTTCAGCAAAAATTTGTAGTGTGTTTATTTCTTTCTTAGAAACAAAGGGGGAAACTATCAAAATAAACAAGGTGAAAATTTTCTTTCGAAGAGCTAGAGGCATAACCCCTTGTAATTACAGTTTGGGTGAAAATCAGGTGATCTGTGAATGTTTATTTGATTCTTGCTCAGCCATGCTCACTGGATGCACTGGCTGCTATGAATAATGGGTTGTTCTTGTGCAAACAGCCATTAAAAACCCATTTGGAATAACATAATCAGTGGCTCAATTTGAAATCTGCAATTTGTTGCTTTACTTCATAGTCTCTAGTGGTGCTTCTGTAACTGCCTTGGATCATTTTAATAGGTTATCATTACTGGGAAACAGTAAAAGAATTGCTTCAAAATGTGGTTTGAAATTTTTACTGATTCCATCCAAGACAACAACGTGTAAATGAACTGATCTGTGCACAGCAAAATGTTAGATTTTGCCTTTTTTTCTTTCTCATGAATGTTATAAATTAAGCTCAGTTATCAAGCATGGAGTTTTCTTACACACTTCTGACATTTCTATGTGGAATAATCACTTAAGTGGCTTTTTATTATAGTAGTGACTATAATGATGAAAGAATGGTCAAAGAATATGGCTTGTTAAAGAATAAGTTATTATCCATATTGTACAGTGTGGTTACCCCTACAGAATAAAAGTGGAATTCTCTAATTTCCAAAGTGATGTTATCAACACTTCAAGTCCATTTAAGATGGTTCCTAAGTTATACAGTCACTTTTCAATTTAAACACAGCATACAATAAGGGATGAGACAATGATACCAACTAAGTATGCAGCAGTTTTTCCAAACTATTTCTTTAAAAAAAGTTTAGGGGAAAAATATGCTGCAGAGAACAGACAGCAAGAAGAAAAGTGAAGCCTAAACACCCAGTAGGAAGAACATCCAACAAGTACCACATCAGACAGAGCAAGGCACCATGTCTTTGCTCCCCTCCCTCCCCCAGAGAGAAGTGTGGAAATACGCTTCCACATATTTCACATTTCCCCACCAGCCTGCTCCAGGGGCACAAACTATTCCTCTCTCTGGTTTCCTCCTGGCCATGCAGAGCTGATGGGCTCTTCAAGGCCACCACAGACAGATGTTTTTCATAGGAATCCTGTGGTTCCCAAGTACAAGATGCTCTGTAATTTCACTTAATGCTGTTAAGTTTCTGGGGTCAACAACACAGCCTGAGACTCATTTTGGTGTTCTGTAATGCTCTACAAAGAAAATACCTACGTGGTGACAGAAAATTTAAAGTAAAGTTTTAAATAAAGATCAACAAGTAAGCTAAAGGTGATACTTATGTACTTTTAAGAATGTAATAACATATCTCTACCAGGTGTGGTAGTTTGCTGCATTTCTCAGCAAGAAAAAATACTTTCTTCCTGAGTGAAACTGCCATGACTTGTATTCTACTGGGCAAATACTATCAGACTTTTCACATCTGTTATTTATATTCCAAAAAAGGCCACTGTATTTCTTTGTACGTTGACAAAAATAGCTTATCTCAAAGTAATTCTGCCCCAAGGCTGCTTCAGGGTAGTCCTTGCCTAACGTAGAACTTCCTCTGTTGGTTTTGCCCCGGGCTCTGTTACTGAGCATCCACCCCATGTTCTCAGCTGTTTGTAACTTGTGGCACTGAACTACCAGCATAAGAACTTGATCCTAATTAGATAAGGAAAATTTTCCAATAAACAAAACTAAATGCAGGATTTGGCCAGCTCAGAATTTTCTAAATTGATTTCTTAAGCTATCAGAACTGGTCACTAAAATTCCATTAAATGCAATTATTTTGTTCCTGGTTTGAAATTCTAACTTCAGGTGAATGCCACAGGCAGGTCTGTGGAACACTGAAAAGTGGAGCAGTTTCAGAGAAAAAATCATTGTAGCAGAAATTGTCTTAGTTTATAATTATAAAGTAGTTTAATACAGGAGGTTGATAAAAAAAAACCTCATTTTAAATCCTGTAAATTCTATTTTTATAGACTATTTCCTGAATTCCAAATATTTTAGAAAACTTCTTTCATTTTGTCAGCACTGTTGTAATAATTTTGGACTACACAAAAGATTTTTGTCTTCTGCATGGCACATGCAATGCTCATCTGTCCATCATTATTAACCAAATCAATAGCTAAACATGTAAATACTTATTTTCTGCACTTTCATATCATTTTTTGACACAGCACTAAACAGAGCATCAGTCTCTAAGCAGACTCAGAGCTCAATTGCTCAGTGCCCACCCTGGTCTGCAGCTATAACCTGGAGGCATGACAGAGTTCCTTTATTTTTGTAACCCCACAGAAGGAGATTTTCAACATTCTGAACATACACAGTATATTCAATTATACCTTTTTTTAAAGCTCTGAGTGCTCCCTACCTTAAATACCAGGGAGCAGAAGTGGAAGTCTGGAAATAATTAAGTCTTTAGTCTGGAAATAATTCTAGTTCACGTACCTTTGATTGATCCAGGCATTTCAGTAAAAAATTCTCATTTCTGTCAATACTTGATGCAAGCAGAGAGAAACGAGGACAAAGACTTGAAACAGATTAGAAGTAGGAAGTTGGGGTTTTCTTTTTTTTTTTTTTTACATTGGTGTCACATTAACAACCTTCAGAAAACAGGAAGAGTTGAAACAGAAGCAAATGAAGTGGCATTTCAATCTCTCTGTATCCTTTATCACTATTTAATTAGGGAGCTCTAAACAGAATCTTTGAAATGTGGGGGGTTTTGACTCTGCTTTCAGTTGTATTGTCCTGAAATACAATGGTAGGGTTTTTAACTTAATCCTAAAGCTAATTTTCTTTTAACTTTATGGTAAAGGGCTCTCCTAAGATATGTTGGGAAAGAAAACAATGGTGGAGAGAAGACACTTGGCACACATAAAATGCTAAACTTATCCAGCGTGGGTGCTGTCCACCAGCTTCTTCTGATGGTGCCCTGTGGGACAGCAGAAAGCAGGAACCAGGTGGAAAAATGCCTCAGGATTGTTAAAAGTGCTTGGGTCATGCTCAGCAAACCTCCATAAACTTGTGGAAAGCTGCAGGGAAAACAGGATAGGGCACAGTCAAGTGCAGTTTTTTAAAAAATTCTATTTTATTTGTGTGTCGAGTTCCTAAGGAGTGCTCAGGTGACAACACAGTGAGCAGCACTGAGGGGTCCTGGCAGGGGCCACTCTTCTTTATGCAAAAAAAAAAGAGTTTTGTTTCACATAGGGACTGGGATGGCTGCAACCTCCTCTGCTGGTAGACTGTCAAATCCCAAACTGGAATATGCATTCCTAATAATGTTACAAAATTGCCATCTCTGGCCTGTGTAATTTCCTTAGGAACACCATCTTTTGGAAGATACAGTTTTATTTTCAGTTTTATTTTGTTTATTTTCCCTGTGATGAGCAGCTGCCCAGTTCAGACCCTGCAGCCTGTCCCTTGCTGGGGGGTGGTGAAACTGTAATGTTATAATTGTCCAATATCCACTTCAGTGGGAGCTCTTTCTTTTAATAATTCTGGTGATAGACTAATGCCAGAGGCCTCAGTGGATTTTCATTTCAAACAGCTTTATTGATCCTGGAGAGTTTTGCCTGCTGTTTGGATTGCTTTCCATTTATTTCTGGAGCCCTGATTTAGCAGGCCTCTAATTTTGGTGGTGGAGAAATATTTCTGTCTTGTTCTTCCCGTCTTTCTTGCCTGTCACGTAGTTACTCAAGGGGCAGAAAAGATCTTAACAGGACCCAGGATTACTGCTTTAAATCCTCCTGGTTTCTCCCATACCCTGAAATGCTCCCAGTAATTGGTAATGGCACTGCAGACACTTCAAATCTGTGAATCTAGAAAATACTTGACATTCTGAACTGCTTTACAGTGACTCATGCTTCTGCTCTACAGACTCAGTCTGTCCAGATGGAGAGAATTACATACAGCAAGTAGTTTCAGCTCTGCTGGGAGATACTTTCCTAAAGGAATGTGTTCTCACCTCTAAGTGAGATCTTCTGGAGGATTACTGCATGCTACAGTCAACAAACCAACGGGGAAAAAAGATGCACTTCTTAGAATAGAACACTGGTATGAATCAAATCATACAAACAGATGATTATGGGCATTTTATATAACCAGTCAAAATTAGTTTGTCTTCAGTTTGATCACATTTCTGGAGCTCATTATATTTTATTCCACTTTGAGACTGACTATTATTAAGTTAAGGTAAATTTACTTAAAAGGGACACTTAATTTAAACAGTACTAATAATTGCAGCAGTATGCTGGATCCTGTAACAAATTGAAAACATGTATAAGCATTTAAAATTCATTATTTACATCACTCAGTATCAAATTCCAAATGCTAAAACTGCAAACTGTTTACCCTGAGAGGCTTAAGGAGGCAATAATTAATTAAAGCAAGTTACAACAAAAGCAAGTGGCTGTCTGGATATTTGCCACCATCACAGAGGTTTCAGGGCTTAGCAGAACCTTTTGAAACTTGATCTAAAATCTCTAAATCTTGAATAAGTGACTCTGGAATCAGGGTTCTTCATAGCATCCTGTGATTCTTCCCATTATGTGGATGAACAGGCTGCTGTAATGGCTAGAAGTATCAAAATACAGAGCACCAGCATTACACTGCATGATTTCTGTTCGAAATGAAGTAATTTTTGTTTTCTCTTTTCTTGTGTTGCTTCCTCAGTTGCAATCTCTATGCAAGATTATTTATATTCATTTAAATTCAAAATACCGTCCTGCTCAGAGAAACTCATCTAACTTCAGCTGCCTCAATAGGCAGCAAAGTGTCAATTTAAACTGTGCTCAAAGCTGAGCCTGCTGAGGTGCTGCACAGGAGGGAGGTCTGGGGCTGCGCTCCTCTCTCAGTTCCTGTCCCCTCCAGCATCTGAGGAGTTAAACCCACACACCATTGGTGCACATTTCTGAGTCCCAAGTGGAAAAGGTCCCACCCCAGGTGTTAAAAACCCTGCATCCTTCAAAGACACCTACAGAGTGTTGTCAGGGGTGAGAGCAAGTGAAAGCAGCAATAAACATTCCTCCCGTGCTGGTGAGGAAATTGATTCCGAACATCCTGCAACTACACGTTTTAAAGAACTTTGCAAAGTTAAATGAAAAGAAAGTCTCTTCCAGGATTGCTAATTATTAATTTTTCCTGTGAGGGCAGTGATGCTGAGAGCAGCACACAGTATCTTACTGTCAGAGGAAGATGCAGACAGTGGGATTATCATTTCCCTTTGCTCATGCAACACTGACAGCCGACACAACTCCCTTGACAGACCACACAAAACTTCTACTTCAATCTCAGCATCAAAAAGTCACAGTGAACCGTAGGGTCTGAAATGAACTTTGTGCAGGTACTTTAAACACTCTTTCTGTGATGGATGCAAAATGTGTGTGAGTGTACCCCAGGTCTGGAGATTTTTATTTCTCAATTTATCAAACAAAATGGAACTGACACATTTCCTGGTTAGCTCAGAAATGACTGTTAATCTCGTTTTACTTGGAAACTATTTCTGCCTTTGCTCTTTTCTCAGTTTGACTTCCTATCTTGAAATGTCTCATAACAGAAGTACCAAGTTCACCTTTCCCCTTGTTCTTGCGGGCTGTGTCTGATCTCACAACTCTGCCAGTTCCACCCGCAGCCCGCACGCTGCCGGTACCTCCTGAGCAAAGTTGGGAGCCTCAGTTCCCTGCAGAATCAGGCTGGAAGTGTTTCATTCCATCATCTCCTGACACCTTTAGAGTCTCTCCATGGTCACATCTCAATTTCTGACTTTGGGAAATCTTGCTGCCTGGTACAAGTCATTGTTCTGAAGTTCTGCCCTTCTTAGTGCGTTATTAAAGTACAAAGCCACTGGAAAACCTGCTGGGGGAACTTAGAAATTCTTGTACCTTATCCTAAGGACGAATATTTTTGACACTTCTACAATTGTATAATATCAGCAAAGCTGGTTAGGTTGGGCTTTTTAAAACAATTATTTCTATAAATATTGTGCCAGAATGCAGTATTAAAATATTTTAGGGAGAATGGGATCTGCTTTACCTTCCCTTTGTTCCAGAATAGCAGCAACTGCTTTTATCATTATTATACAGTTTTCTATATTTCCTATGTTCCTTCTCTTGAATATCCATAAATGAAAACATTCCAAAGGCTTAAATCAGTAAAAATATTGTTACCTAAAATACATTTTAGTGTGTAAGTAAACACTGTATTGGCCTTTTTGACCTCTTCATGCAATTTGTATCAAGAATATTTCCTTTTCTACTTCTTACACTGCTACTTTTCTCAGCTCCAGCTACAAGAAATGCTTTCTAGTTTATTATATGTCTCTAGTTTAGATTCACATCACTATTTCTAAAAAGAAACATACCTAACATACCTATTTGTTTTGTAACATGCTTGGTGGCTTGACAATGAGGAAAAAATAGGATTTTTAGTGCTTAAAAACCTCAAAGGATTTCAATTCTTTTATCCTTTCATCAAATTTGCTCCTGTGCATTTCCCATGTTAGGAAAGAGTTAACAACCTCCAGCCAGCAGACTGCAATCAACAGGTTGCTCTAACAGAAAAATAATAACCCTAATCCATCTTTTAAAGTTTAGAAGGTTGGACTAAATGATGAAAAAATACCGATTAAAGCCCTCTGAAAAGCTGAAGTGGGGCCAGAACTGAAATGCTTTGTGTTTTATGAAAAAAATCTTCTCGTTGCTAAGTGAAAGAACCACCACAATTAAAAAAAATAATGTAACTTTAAAATTTCTGTCTTGCCATCTAGAATTGAATTCTCTCTCTGCCCATAGAAAATGACAACAAAACACTTGCTAACCTTTAGGTGGCCAATTCACAGGCAGGTGGAGAGGTTCAGGTCCCTGGAATAGCGTTGAAACAAAAGAAGCATCCTGTTTTCTTTTTTCAGTGTCTTTCTCTTCTCCTTTTTTTTTTTAAGCATTTGAACAGTGAAGGGTGGGTGGTGGGGTGTGTGCAGAGAGAGCAGGGGGTGCAGGCAGCCCACGCTGCTGTAGGAAGAGTTTTAATGGCCGATGCTGGGAATATGGTTTGCCTGCTACAGTGTCTGCACTACTGCAGCTCTGTGTGTGGGCGTAAAGAAATGACACGACTGGGTTTCAAACCATTACACTGAAGATTTGCAAACAGTTAAAAAAAAAAAAAAACACACCAAAACACACAACCCCATCAGGCACAAATGAAAAAATATTACTTTTCTCCTTTTATCTCTTTCTAAGGTTTTTTTGTTGCTTTGTTTTAACTTAGCAGATGTAATCTAGTCAAGTTTCTTCCTCAGCCTCTAAAGGAAAAATAGATAAAATTGAGTATTTGGGAAGGTTTTATATTTTACATAGTATGAATATTTTGTTACCATTTTTTGCTGCTATTTTTTAATTAATCTGCAGGAGCTTGTGTTCCTGAAGAGTATCCAGATTTCCCCAGTGAAAGTCTTCAGAGGACATCTACATTTGTGCTTTAGGACATGCTAAATAGGTGCCTAAATCTTGGTAGCACCACTAGCACAGTACAATAGACAGAGCAGCCACTCCACAACTGGCCAGGCAGGACATCTGAGCCCAGGACTATTCCTTGAAAATCCCACAAAGCACAGCCAAAAAACCAGGACATGCTGGCAGCCCACTTTTGTTCAGCTGTCCAGCAACACCTCAGGTTTACTGGTCTAAATTGGGCAGAAAACAGACTTGAATATTTGTTGTAACTACTGGAGACCAACAGGAGTGAGACAAAGGGGCTGTTCCCTGTCACATCATGGGGAATGAGGGGAAAATGGGATTTGAGCTGATATAAAAGTGCTGACACAAGTGACAGGGACTAAAACAGTTATGAACACACTGCTGTTGGGAGGGACAGGTTTTGTCAGAAAAGCAAGAACACTTCTCAAACATATTTTTACCACAAAAAGCGAAAGACAGACAAAACAGTTTTAGAAGGAAACTTGAAAACTTCAAGGAATCTTTATGACTTGGCTTTCCTTGATAGTAAGGGACTGACACTTGATAAATGTGTATCTTCAAGCATGTTGAGAAGAGACAGCCAGGTTGAAAATCTTGGGCAGAAGGCATGTGCACTGTGGGGTGCAGGGGTTTTGGTGTCCATCTTCTCACACGTCCAGACGAGCCCCAAATCAAGCAGGATTTCTTTGGTGTCGTGCTGACAATGAAAAGCAGAGCAGCTGCATGCACAGGGACAGGGGAGGGAAAGGGGAGGCTCTGGCTGGTGCCCCGTGGCTGTTCACAGCAGGGTACCCTGGCAGTCATTCTCCTCCTCACCCAGGCTGAGCAGCCAGAGCTGAACATCAAACCAGCACAACTCAGTGCCACTAAAACCAGCAGGACTGCACTGGAGGGCTTCAGACTGCTGATCCCAGGCTTTGACAAAGACTGATAAAGGAGTTAAACAGTGAATCACCCAACAGTGGATGAAAAACAGTCCTCAGTTCTGTGTCTGTGTGGTAAACCTCTCAGATATTGCCATTATTACACAGCAGTACAGCATCACTTGGCACTAAGTGGGGTCTGGCTACTGGCCACAAGAGAAACTTAAATTTTTTTTTCCATGTATACACTAGCAGCTGAGGTCAGCTCCAGGAAAATTTTGCTGGAGAAATATCTGTGTGCTCAGCTGATACAGAAAAGTGAATGCCTGGGGAGACAAGAAATGTGCCTGCCAGCAGGGTTCCATTCATGCAGACCCAGTGCCATTGCACAACCAGATGTAGTCTGCAAGCTGACATTGCTTAAATCAATTTGGTAAAACTGGTCGTTTTCCTGGCATTGTAAACTTTTTTTGTATGTGGATAGAAGTAAAAGAAAAGAACTACAATTTTTTTCTATTAGTCTTTCTCTAAACTCTTAATCTTTTTGTTCTGCTTGCTCAATGAAGACCCTTTTGGCCCAGTTAGACATCATGCATTATTAATGAGTGGTATCAGCTCAATCTTTTATTATCATTCTTTTTCTTTTAATTACTATTTTCCTGACTCAGTTTGAAAAGTAACCAAATACACATCCTGCAGCAGTAACTCTCAGAGGGGTATGTGTGGCTCATTTTTGTCTCAATATGACATGAACATCTATTTCATGACATTGTAGCTTCTGCATTTCCAAGTCACCATTCCTCCATGATGTTGGTGACTGTGCTGCAGGTGAAGTAGCACCTGGAAAGTCTAAATGCACCCAATCCTCTTCTGAGGACTAATCCCCATGAAGAATCATTGTGTAATATGGATATTGGTTATCACAAATAGCAATATTTCTTTTATAGACATGAACTCTTAAGTTTGAATGCACAGAAATCATGGTTGCCTACACATCTTTCATTTGACCATCTCCAGCACGGTACTTAAGATGATTGTTTTTTCCCAAAGATCACAGCTTTGTGAATTGGCAGAATGTTTTAAAGTAACTATTAAAAATCTGGAGGAAAAAAATTGAATATATAAAAATATTCCAAAAACCACATTCTTTTAAACTGGACAGCCAACTACCACCCTCCTATCAACATCACATAACAACTACTAAGATTCATCTGGCAGTTTTTTCTGTTTATTGAGCCAGCAAGAGCTACCACCCAAAGAGGAGTATAACCCTCACAAACTGGTCAGGCCATACCAAGAGAAAAAAACTTAAAGACAAAAATGTGCTTGAACAGCAAAAGGGAGAGACAAAGCTTCATTAGAAGCAAACATGGGTCTCCTTGCCAAAAAAGTCAGTTCAAGGAAAATGAAAAGAGAAGGCAAAAGTAATGGATCCCATAGGAAAAAGACTCAAGGCTGCTGAGAAAGTGCTAAGGCAGCCACAAAGTTGAAAAGGTTCAGCTGGTTGCAGACACAACCTCAGTTTCACTAAGAATTGAATTTTTCCTTCAAAGTACTTGGGTTCTTTCCACAGCCCAACTGCAGGGCTGGACACTCACCCAAAGGAGAAAGGAAATAGAAAGTAAAGGAAAAAGTCCAGCCTCAAACCATCTTCCATTAAAATCCCATAGACCTTTTTCCAAATGTAGTTTCAGTGTGTGTTAGGTAAGGCTCTAAATGCTGAATCATCACACAGTTCCATTTGGGGCTTTATTTGGTTTGGGTTTTTAGTATTAATTCACCACAAGCAGGTATGCTGAAGGGTTGTTTTATGGACTAATTTACAAGGATAGCCTAAAATCCAAGAAAAATCTTGGACATCAGAGAGAAAAAGCAGATGAGTCCAGCTTTGCTCCTGAAGTATCAGGTGATGGGGTGGGAATGAAGAGCTCCAGTTCCTCCTCCTTGCCCACATCTTCCTTTTGCTGACAGCTGAAAGGTTAAAAAGTGGGGGATGCTATGGTGCCTTGGCCACACAAGAGATGATGTGCAGGAGGAATAGGAAGGGTCTTTCCAGGTCCTATAGGCTCCAGGATTAATGAGCTGTAGTTTTTTCAGACGTATCACATCACAAACATGAATAATTTCCATTATGACACACTTAGAAGCAATGTAGCTTTCAGAGAAACAGCACCTCCAACTCGAAAAGGCAGCAAGGTTCAGTGGTTTGTACGTGCACAAACTACAGATGTATTCATTTTTCCATCTGTTTCTTATTTGTCACAGAAAAAGATATAAAACAGATAACTCAGAACGACTGACAGTAGTCAGAAATGTTCTAAAGCCCACCAAGTACACTGACTTTAATGTGTTTTACAGAAAAAGAGAATAGAATTTGACAGGGTCATTGATCACTTGAACCAACTCAGCTCAACGTCAAAACCCATAAAAGGCAGCATCAGTAACTAGAAATAGAGAAGCAGAGCATTCCCATCACTGTGACCCCAGGCCAGCACCAGTCACCAGTAACGCCATGGTCCTCACCACTCAGACTACTCAATTCTGCATTTCTTTTTATTTTCCCCATAAGTTTCTATGTAGTTGTGTCTTTTCCCAACATGTTGTCAAGGAAACCCTACACTCCTGTAGCTCAGCATCCAGCTCTTTATTGCTATTGACACCCCAAAATTTAGGATTTTGAACCAATTGATACACTTTCCTTCCCATTATGAAGGGATCCTCACTTATACCATAAGCTGGATAGAGTTAAAATGAGGCCTTTTTTGAAAGTTCAGCTCTTCCAAAATGCCTGGGAGAAACTTGCCAATTAACTCTTCTGTTTATTATTTTATTAATCATTTTACAAATCAATATTCTATTATGCTCTATGCTATCCACTGAAAAATAGCCCTGTAACCTGACTGGTGTCTTCTCATTTAGCTCTGTCTCAATTCCACTCTTAGGTTGTCATTGAACAAGGTTGAGTTCCTCTGACAAACAATATTTTGTGAATTTTGTGAGAACTGCCAGCTAAATTTCAAGTGACAACCATTAAGTTGCAGTTGCACACTGCTTGTACCTGTGTCATAGTTTTATCTAAGAGTTGTACAGATTTTCTCTGGTGGAAGAGGTGCTATATATAAATGTATATATGAACACTGAATTTAGGGTGCACTGCAGCTCTCCAGCCCCTGGGGGTGCCCGGTGCTGTCCCCTGTGCCCACACCGAGCTCATGTGGAGCACATGAGCCACATCCACACTGCAAAGCACCAGGGCAGGCTCAGCCCTGGCACTTTGCCTCTCCCCGGGGGCTGAGGAGCTCTTCAGCTTCCACACAACACTCCCCTGCCCCAGGAGTGCCCCAGGAGTGCCCCAGGAGTGCCCCAGGAGTGCCCCAGGAGTGCCCCAGGAGTGCCCCAGGAGTGCCCCAGGAGGGCTCCAGCTCTCACACAAGCTCCAAGGCTGCAGCTCTTACCCTGAGAGCTTCACGCAAGGATAACTGCAGGGCAAAGGCAGGGAATGTCCTGTGGAGGAGCACTCCTGGCAGAGGGAAGTTTATGGTTGCACTGGACTTGGATTTCAGCTGTCTGTCATGGTGAGAGGTATTTCTGTTCCTCTCTCCTTCGGGTCTCATGGAGCTTTGCTTTTATCTGTCGTCAAGGAAACACCAGGGTTTTTTCCCCTTGCTCATTAATGTCTGCATTTTTGTTTCCATAGCTACAAAGGAACCTTAGTGTTTTAAAATAGCAGTAATTGGATTACTATGACTTTTTCAAATTTATTGACACCATTAATGGCTCCGATTTTCAACAGCAGACACCGAAATTGTATCAGCAGTTTTTCAGCTATTAACATGTTATCTCCTTGTCCTGAAATCCTGGGTACATGCTCAGAAAAGTCTTCAGCAGCCAAACACTCACTGCAGCCAGACTCGGGCTGCATACTGGTGCTCTGAGATTACTGAAAATAGTGAAAAAATCTTTACTTGGATTACTTTCAATTTCTGATGGTCTCCTGCAAAGGAGTGCACAGGTTCTCTTGTGAATCTGCTCAGCATTAGCACATTACAGATCCTTTGTGTTTTGACACCAGGGAAGAATTTGTACAGCCAAGGATCTGGGCAACTCAGGATGCAGGAACATGGGAAAAGCATGAAGAACTGAGAGTACCAGCATTGTTAACAACTGGTATTACTTAGCAGGGACATAATTGATGTTTTGAAACAAAAAGTGACACTCCTGCACTATCTGTGGCTCTACTGCCACTGCCCTGAAATTGTTCCTCTGCTGCCTTCTAGCACTTTCCATTTACCTGTTACCATTGCCTATCTGAGTGCTCACAAAGCACCATAAGTGCATATCTGTACCCCTGCCCTTTCTTTCCTGCCCCTCCTGCCCCCAGCTGAGGACAGAAAGCAGCTGAATTCCCTGCATGGGTGTCCCAGCAGCTGTGTCACCGCTCCTTGTGCTGAGCCCCAGCCAGACACACACTGCAACTGGAATCAAATTAACCAACAGTTTAAAAAGTTGTAAGAGGTGGACAGACAGAATGTCCAAACACCACCTCTTGTTTTAGAAAAACAAGCTCAAGAGAGTCACCAGCCTAAAATCCAGGCATGGCAAAAAGGTGACAAGTGGCTAAACACAAATAAGTGTGAACAAGGAAGTCCCTTTAATCTAAAATATTAGTTCCTGGTTTTCATAATGGATTTCTGTGCATCCTGCAGGCTCAGACATTCTATTTCCATAGAAACAGTATCCTGTGTCTCTGAGGAGCTGCTGTAGCTGTGTGCTGTTATGGAAACAGTCCTCTGAACAGCTCAACTCGTGTCTGTATTTCAGTGATTGTGTTTGTAAAGATCCATTGCTAAATTATCCTTTCAGGATTCATTTTAATAAAACTAAGTCCCAGAAGTACATGGCAATTTAATAAAATCCTCAAGGCTTCTCCAGATGAAAAATATAGCAATGGAAAAAAATATACATTAGAATTACCTTGCCTTTTCAATAATTACCAACCTCTCCTAATCCCTACCATCAGCAAAGGTTTGGGGAAAAGATGGCTCCCCAACAATCATTAACAAAACTACCTCAGGAAAGCAAATTTTGATGTCATGTTCTGTGCAAGGGCTCCTTCACACACCCATCCTCTGTGCCAGCATGGAAATGAAGTTGAGAACATAAGAAGGTACAGGGAGAAAATGTGGCTCACATAACTGACCTGGGAATTCTCACATTTTAATTCCAGGTGAACAGTTCTTTGTCTCAGGAAAGCCATCCAAGGCAGATTTCAGAAAAGAGAACATGTGAGTTGGAAGCTCAACTCCCACTAACTTTTTTCCTGGGAATTGAGTCCTTAGCTGATCCTAGAAAATCTCCTCAACATTTTCATATTTGTAACATCTGAGATACTACTACTTCCATATTTCACTAGAGCTCTGTGGGCATGAGGATTTTGTATTTTCTTGAATAAAACCACCAAAGAATCAGGAACGCTAAAACAAAACAACTAAAAGGTGCTGTTTGGGTTAATAGTCAAATGTAAAGACCTTCCTGCCTAATTACATTGATTTTTCTATGTAGTTACTGCAACTTAAGACTGTAAATTCACACTTTTTATCTTTATCTTTTTTTTCTTTAATGAAAATCATCCACACCAAGAGGGTCCTTTCCAACCCAAACCATCCTAAGAAGGTTATATCCTATCTCTATTCTATTATCTCTATAATAAATTATGGCTTGTAAAGGGAACATTTCCTAACACTGAATATCTGAATATCTCTGATTACAACTCATAATGTATAAAGAAATCTCCCAAAACATAATGAATTTGTGAGCATAATTCAAACATCTCCACTGAGCTTCAGGGAAGCAGGAAAACAAAATCTACTCAGAAATGTGTCAGTTTTGAAACCCAGGTCTTCCCCCCTCTTGAGAGGGATGCAGTGATACCTCAGCAATATCATCATCATAATCATCTATTTTTTTTCCTTTCAAATCTTTACAGCCTCTTTTATCAGCAAGGATTAAGATATGTGACACTCTGAAACACACATTTACAAAGGGAACAAACATTCAGTTTGGAGTAAACAAATTAAATAAGTTTGAGTTGTTGCTGGTACTGGGTTGTCTCCAAGTTTTGTGATTAATGAAGCTTTGTAGAGGCTTTTTATTAATATCATCATTTTCCTTAGAAGTCTCCTTGCCTGCTGCCCCCCTCGCTGATGGTCCTGCAGCACCCACCCCTGTGTGAGTCCTTCTGCCCAGGAGTGTCCAGCTGGTCAGTGTTTGTTTCTCCTGTTCCTATGCTACTCATCCCACTGCACGGTTGGGAGCTCCTGGCTTTGAAGACACATAGAATGCACATCTGGATTAAAAAGAAGAGCTGTGCTCTTCATCTTGCCTTTTAAAAACCTTTACTTTTAATAATTACTGCTTTACAGTATTTTGTGTTTCAGAGAGCTCCTGATACTCAGAATTGTTAATCACTAGAAATTGTATATAAAAATTCCTCTTATTTCTGAGCATGAAAACCAAAAATTGACACTAAGAAGCCTGAACTCCACTTTTGCCATCTTATTAATCATGAACCTGCTGGATATCCTATTGAATCAGTGCACTAGAACTGATATATATGCAGCAACTTGGAAGTGGTTCCTAAATGACTTGATTTAGAGAAAAAAAATAATTGAGGTAGCTAGGTAGAAAGTGCTTTAATGTACACTATGCAAGGCCTAGATATGAAAAAATACGTTTTAAATGGTTTTGTAAGAAGAGTAGTCAATGCTAAAACTACTTATTCCTTTAAAAATATTTTTAACTTCAGTTTGTAGCTGTCTATTAACATTTTGGACTCTGTACTCATGTAACAGAGAACATATATACATCCTCAGGAGAGAGATTAATCCAAGCTGACTTAATCATACTGGGATAAATCTGATGATTTCTCAGTGTATGGAATTTGACTTTTTCCTTTTTTATTTATACACGTGGCTTATTCCTCTAATTACTGCTGAAACACTAAGTTGCAGACAGCTTCGTTTCAGCAGCACATTAAGTCTAGGCAGTGCAATGGTGAAAAAGCTGTTTTCTCCCAAAGGAGAAATTAATCTAATTAATCATCGCTAATGAAGCTGTGCTAATTAACAGTTATGGGGGTGGTGGAAGGCCTAGAAGAGTCTGAGGGCTGAGTCCAGGCTGTGAGGATTTTACTTGCAGTCCTTCACAAGTGCAACACACCCAGGGCTGCTCTGCAAATGGATTTTTAACTGCTCAGATGTTCTTGTAATATTTACTAAATTCTTAGACCCTCTTCAAGTCGTTGCATATGTTTGACTCAAATCTTCTTGGTCTGTGTGTAGCAGGTTTGTGCAGGCCTGTTAAATGTGTTTGGCTTTGGATCAGGACAGAATGGAGTTCTCTTGCAGGATTTCCAAGATTGTAAGTATTCCCACATATTCCTCTCACTTTTCTTTAAGTGCTGTAATATTTCACAGCTAAGTACATTAAAAAGCCCCCATGGCCTGGGATGTCAGACAGTGGCTACAGGAAATGCAGATTCAGGCATTTTATCAAGATGGACTCTGACAGTTTTGATCACACCATCTCATTGCCTTTGATTTTGATTTTTTTCTAAATGGAATCTATGACTTTGACATTAATGGAGATTTTATGGAGTCTGCTTACTTTACAGTTTAATATGTTATTAGAGCATACCATGAAAGAAAATACTTTTGTCCCAACTGTGCATGAAGAGTTACTTTATTTGCATGGATGATCCTTGCATTATGTTTCCATCTTAAACTCTCCTATTTGATTAATACATTTTATTTCTTTTCCTTTTATAGTTTATCCCTTAAGTTTGATGAAATGAACTCATGAGAACCACTCAGAAGGCTGTTTGGAAGAGAGAAGTGTTTTCAGTGAAGCTACAAACAGGAAACCACCGGTGTCCAGATAAGATATTAAAAATTTAAAACTGTCCAAGCACCTCATCCCCAGAAGGACAAGGATCATTTCAGGTGCAGTTTTTGACTTCCATGCTTGCTGTTTCCCTGTGAGTTCTCAGGCCTGTCCAAACATTTCTTCTCAGTTTGGGGCTGGGAATTCCCACTGTCAGGCCCAGATGAGAGGCTGGGACTGAGCCTTGAGCTGCTGGTCCTGTTAAAGATCTGAGGACTGCAGTCCCAGAGAGGAGGTTTTGTGTTCTCAGCTGCTGAGACTGGATCCCCTCCCTGTAAAGCAGTAACAAATACAATCCCAGCACTAAGGACAGCAGAAATACTCTAAAATCCAGGATCCACCTGTTCTCTGGCCCACAAAACTTAGAAAAAAAATTTAATGGCTTGCCTTCACCAGAGCTGTGTGGTCAGCCTCAGGCACATGAAAGCCTACATGCCTCAAGGCTGTTTGGTTTATTATTGATTTGATCATTGTCTTGGTGACAGTTAAGATGTCAGCTCTGATGACTAAGTGGCCACTTCCATGTGGTACTTTGTGTATGACAAAGTCACAACTTTTATTTCCAGGTTGTGGTTTCTTTAAACCATGTCCAAAGATAGCTGATGGAGCACAAGATTTCTGAAACAAAGAGTTTGACAGAAATGTTGGACAAGGGAGCAAAGTCTGAAGACTGTGAGTTATGTTTGTGATTTAATACATAATTCTGACCACGACCTCTCCTCACTGGTCCTTCAGGCTTTGCACTGAAAGTTGCACCCAACAAATGTTTGAGAGCACAGTGTTTTTATAAGAACTGTTGTCATCTTTTGAATTACACAAGAATCACTGGGAGAGAAACATAATTATCTCCAAACAACACAAAATCATCAGCATTTTCAAAGTACTTTAGAATTTGTGGTTTTGTCTTTAATTGTGCTGTTACTGTGCTTGCTCATGAGTTGTGGGTGATAACATGTGATTATCATCTGCCTACTTGATCACATGCACATTTGTGATGCTTGCAAGAGCAAACATTATTGGCTGGGATCTGTCACATCCTCAGTGCCAGAGACTGTTTCCCAGACAACAGCACAGTCCCCTTGATCCACGAGCCCTGCACCACCGTGGACCTGTGCTCAGTCTAACACCTGCTGGCAGCTGCTGCTCCCACTCCCGACACAGACAAGATGTTTGTAGAGCCATAATCCAACTGCCTGAACTCTGCAAACCAAGGAAACTGCAGAACCTAAATTAAAAAGTCAAAATGAGTCAAACAGCACCTACCTTGTTACAAATTCTGAGTCAGTTTTTAAATTGAAACCAGATCATTCCTTGCCAAAAGCCATTTAAGGGCCATGTACTACCTGTTTAAGTCCTCTGCTGCCAAACATAAAGGCAAGCACAGCTGTGTAAGGTGGTAAATCATTTCTCTGTAGTAATTGGAGTGTGGTAAAACAAAAGAGCCCAGAGGGCAGCTGGAAGAGTGAGTGTCAGAAGCAGCTCAGGCCAGCTGGGTGGGATCCTGTGTGCAGGGCGTTTACATTTTGGATGTTGTCAGGTGGGCGAGGAAGCTGATAAGAAAAATAATTATTTGCATTCAAATTATATAAACAGTGCCAGAGCCTGGTTAGTGTAGGCAGTGTTAGACAGAGTGTTTCCCAACTGCAGGAGATGTATCACATGCTGGGTGAGGAAGGTATATGAGGCAACAGCACTCTGAAGGTGTGCAGCTCTAAGCCTCTTGGCACATTTTATGGCAGAAGAATAAAATAAAAAGGATCTGAAAATCAAATGGTTGTCCCAGATCATTCTATTAAAAATGCACATTTTTAATGTGACCTAACTTAAACTCAGTGTTGTGAAGGAAAGATAATGTCTGGGTTTGAATTTATCGGGGGGAAGGGAGCAGGATATTGGTGGGATTTGGGCAGGATTCTTCAGGGTGTGCAGGGGCATTTGGGGAAGGGAGAGATGTGAAATGGCAGGTAACAAAATCTCAGTCTCCCCTTGATGACTGAGTGGCTGTAGCAGCAGTGTAGCAGTTTCACCATCAGCAGTTCAGATCTCAAGCTGTCCTTCCACATCAGGTGGCCACAGGTTTCTGAAGATCTTATCACCAATTTTTTTTGTTTTAACTTGTTAAGAATTATTTCAAATGTAAATGGAATATTAAATGATTTTGTTTATTGATCCTGTGATGCTCGGGCTGAATACCCTGTAGGTTTGCAGAGGGGCACTCTGGGGTGTGCCATTCCCTCTGTGGGCACCATGGGAGATCCACAGGAGGATCTATGGGAGTTTTATACACTCTTCCATATCACTTCTGACTGAAACTCTGCCTTTCAGAGCTTCTCCAAGAAAAAGCAAATCCACGGTCAAAATGCAGAGGCCATTCTCTTTCCAACCAAAGCCTGCCTAAAATTTTTGAAACATATCCCTCCCTCACTTTCTCAAGAATTGAGAGCTTCTTCAACTGCATTCTGTGAATGATGGCCTTGGCTGTTCCATTAAGTACCAAAGGCTCTTATCTGACACTGAGTCACAGGTTCACAACAGGACATTTGCACTCTGAGTTGCTCTCAGGTTACCTGAGACCAGCTTTATTGAAATCACATCCCAGAGAGTTGTGCAGTGTAATTGTAGCTGTGGTGACCAATATCTGCAAAGGGGAGAAAAGCTGCTTCATCACAGATGAGGACTTGTGCAAACAGAAATCCAAAAGTCTGTTCTCACAGGGACACACAGGGAGTGGAATACACAGACAACACATGTGAGCCAGCCCCCTCTCGTGGTTTTTCCACACAGAAGGCAGGAATCAACTCAAACTGATTTCTTAGTAATGATTCAAACACCTGCATCTCTCCTCTGAAAGCTGATATGGTTAGTGGCATTTCACCTCTTCTTAGGGAGTGATAGGTATTAGTCTGAGGACAGAAAATTATAATATTTTAAAAATTTCATTTGTATTTCCTAGGCAATTTGATGGCTATTTCTGGTAGAATATGAAGGACTAAGGGAAGGGGATTTGTTGGCTATTTCTATGAGCTGTTTTTCCTCAAACTGAGGGAGGAAGCAAATACTACAGGATAAAAAACAAAACTCTCCTGGTCAACCGCTAAAGTGCAGAAACAAACACAGGCATTTGGTTGTCTTACACTGCTCTGTGTTACAATTGAGTTGAACTGAATTGCATGATACACACAAGTCAGTGTTTGTCAGTGGGTGAAGAACAAATGCACTGAACTGAGAGAACTGCTGCAGGTCTGGCTACGGCCAAGCTGGTTCCAGCATTGGCCAAACCAGCCCTGATCAGTTGTTCTTGCTCTGCAGCACCAGCACAGCCTCCCTGTCATTTCCCCGTGTCACTGACGGCTCGCTGTGCACACAGAAACTGAGGTGCTCGTTCCTCACAGGGCTCGCCCTGGCCACGTGAAGAGCTGTCCCAGAGCAACACGAGCAGCAGCCCCAGGACAGGACAGAAATAACTGTCCTCAGGTGGCCCCAGGGCCAGCCCCCCCAGCTCCCCAGCCTGGGCAGAGCTGCAGAGCAGCTGCACTGGGGCACTTTGGCAGAGCAGCTCCCCTGCCTGAGGCGCTGAGGTTTATGGAGCTCAGGCATGCTGCTTGCTGCATTCTGCTCCTTCCCCTCTGCCCTGGGACAAAGGAGGGCTCCAGGCCTCAGTGGTGAGGAATTTGGGACAACATCTGCTCTGAAGGAAGGTGAAGGGCTTTGGGCTGGGAGGCCAGATTGCTGAAGCAGCGGGGAGCACTGTCAGGACTCAACATCACAGTGAAACCGTTAATGCTTGCAGAGGAGGTAAAACTGGTCAAGAATGCTGATTACTTCAATAAAAACACATTTTCAGTATTGAAAGGGAAATATTTTTATTCCATTTATGTTTCACTAAAGAGAGAAAGAGATGCACCAAAGCATGTTAATCCCTGCTACAGTGTGAGCTCTGATCTAATAAATGTCTCATCATGGAAACCCATTTGTGCCTAACACCACTTTTCCAGAATGTTCTGTAATGGTGGCATTTCCCCATTGGTGTCTTCTTTAGATATTGATCAGAAATCCAGAAGGATCAAAATTACTTGAACAAAACTCCTATAAAGTATGGGCAAAGCTAGAGGAGTTGGTACCACCCTGCAGTGAGGTATTTCTGTGCTTTCTTTCTGTCAATAAAGGTATTTGTTTATTAAAAGCACCATTTGATGTGACCTTGTCATGCAGGGATGCATTATGACTTGCCAGGAATCAATGAAGCAATTCTGGAAGCACTGAAAAGCAGTTTTGCTATCCAACAAAGTTTTCTCTGAAAAGTACATTCAGGAAAATACAGCCAAGCCTGAGGAGGCTGATCCTGAAGTGACAGCTGATGAAAGAGTGTTCATAGCTGGGCAGCCACAAGGAATTGTACCATGGAAGTCACTGAGGAGGTATGTCTGGAAAAGAAAACACTGACAATTTTCTATCATTACAACTGCCACATTGACAGAGGGACTGGGAACTTGTTTTTCCAGCTCAAGAAAAGAGCAAGACTTTTGAATGGTTTTCATTAATATTGCCTGTGAATACCAATATTTCACACCAATAAAACTTGGATTTCAGATCAAGGAACTTGTGCTGTGTTACTGCAGCACAGCCATATTTCAGAATATGACAGGGGGGAAAATACACCACAAAATACAATTTTCTTAAGTGTAAAATACAGTAAGGCCTCAGCTGCCACGTGAAAAGTGCAGAGTTGTGATAAAGAAGCAGGGCAGACCCCAGAGCCCGTGGCAGGGAGCAAAGGAGGTGAGCTCAGAGCTGTCCCCTCCCACCCTCCTGTGTCAGTCCCCCGCAGTGTCACCTGTGCACAGCTCAGCTCTGGTGACCCACGAGGAATGGCACCTCAGGCTTGCATTCATTTCCTTTAAATGCAGCTTGAGTCACTGCCATTGTCACCAAACCCTTTCCAGGGTGGAATTCAGTGACATTTTGTGCCTGGTTGATCTCTGGGGCAGGGCTCTGGACAGGGGGGTGTTTGCTTTGCCAATGGACACACAATACCTGTATTTTTATATAATAGTGCAGGGCTGATTGGGTTTGACAATCTGGGGTTTTGGTACCCACTATGGAGAGCAGGAATGATCTGGATACGATGCTGGAGATAAAGAGACTTTTGGGTTGTTATTTCCTGATATTTATGCTTTTTGGTCAAAATTATGATGTTTTTATGAGGCTGCTTAAAGGGGACAAGTCACTCCTCCCTGCTGGCAAACATGGGTCTGGCAACACAAAATCTTCATGCCTCGTTGAGCAGATAAATTGTTTGGGACCCCAGAGCACTTTCCCACAGAATTCCTAGGGCAATTTCCAGTATTTCTTAGCCATGCCAAGGGGATTGCTCTGCCAAAATCTGAAACATAGATCA